GGGCTCTTTGACTTTCTTCTAAGGCGCGCGTCTGGCGCGCAAGCTCGGCTGCTAGGACTTTGTTCTGTCTCCGCTCCTCCTGCAGTTCCAACTCGATCTTTGCCCGTATTAGTTCGGCATCCGCCTGACTTTTCGTCGCTGCATCCTCCTTCTGCTGCTGCAAGGCTTGGTATAGCTTCTGGGTGACCGCCAGGTGTTGTTTGAGGGCGGTGTTCCTTTCCACATACACTTGGCAACTAGAGGCCCACTTTGCCACCTTGATCCTCGTCCTTCGCCTGATAGTCTCCACATAAGACTGCGGTTTTAAGGCACTTCCGTATTTGGATGTCTTGCGATCCAGATATCGCAGGAGTGGAACTATCTGTTCGCACAGCACCCCTGTTGGCGTTTTCTGCACCGAATCCGCTTCCTGCTCTTCCGAGCTCGTATCATCCTCAGTCTCGAGGATTTCAGTCGCCACCGAATCCCTTGGCGACTCCCTGGAACTGTGGCGCGCAGCAGCTTCTGCTGCGACTGCTGCTCCACTGCCTGCTAAAATATCCAGGGCAGTGGGAGATCCCACTGCTTGAGCCCCTGTTCCGGCTCGATCTTCGGTTTGTGAAGGGGTCGACGCCGCAGTGACTTTTGTCACTCTTGCACCGCCCGCTTCTGCTGCCTGTCCTTCCGGCGCAATCTGCGCGGAAGGTGTCCTTGCTGAAGGTGCGTCCGCCGAAGGCGTCCGCACACTGGTCGTTGGCCCCATCCGTCTCGCAGTCGGCAAATCCGGCTGACTCTCTGTTGTCCGACTCGCAGTCGGCCGACCAGCAGTTGTCCGACTGGGAGTCGGATACACCCTGCGCGTCTTGACTCCACTTGGCCTGCTTGTTGGGGGCGTTCTTCCAGAAGTGCCTTCCGCCGAAGACGACCCTTTGAGGATTGTTGGCTCGTCAGCCAAACTCTCTTCTGCTTCCGGCCTGCTGTCCGGTTCAACGCGCCGTTCAGTTGGCCTTCCTTCCGCTTGTCGACCTTCAGTCATCCGACTCGCAGTCGGCCGGCTGTCAGTCCGTCCATCTCCTCCCGAAGGCCGTGGTGCCTTCTGTGCAGAGGTATCTGCCGTCTTCCCTAGAATCTGAGCGATTATCTCTTCCTGTGTGAGATTCCGCCGGGTCGGAGTTCGCCTGGTCTCCTCAGTAACAGTTGGCATTCTGCGTGCCCTCTGTTTTGGTCGACTGTGAGGCTCGGGGGTGGGCCGACCACGAGTCGGCGCAGCTGGCACTTCCGGCTGCCTGTCCTCAGGTCTCTCATCCCACTTCCGCTTGCGCGGAATGCGCTCACTTCGACGTTCTTCTGCTGCTCTGGCTGGAGCCGGAGCCGGAGGCGTACTGGCAGGTTCCTCGTCCGGATCCGTGTCTACTTCGGCCTCCCTCGAATATCTACCTGGATAAGACCGGCTCAGCTGCGGAAACCGAGTTTTCTCAGCATTCGTCAAACATCCCATCGCCCGGTAAAACACGATTAAGTAAGGCGATAGATGATTGAGCGTTCCTCCCCTCTCTTCTTGCGCATGTTGGCGCGTCACCTTCCACAGGAGCCGTGCCCAATGCACCGGAGCTCCTGACAACACTAGCTCCACGAACTCTACCTGCCAACCATGCATGTAAGCGGTCTTGGTCGGCTGCAATATCTGCAGCAATGCTGTCGCGACATTTCTCCGCAATCGATCCTTGTAATCCCGAGTCCGGAAACCGTTCTTGGGATGTCTAGCCACCTTGAAGAGCTCATTGTAAGAGACTTCTTCCTCCTGGGACACTTTCACGCTGTCGGCCTCGAAGAGGAGATCCCCTTCCTCGCCGGCACACCTGCCCAACACCTGCGCCCAATTGCAAATTTCCCATCTCTCTGGGTGTGGGCGAAATCCGCGAGAAGGCTTGTGTCTCTCTTGCAGATACTCGCGCACCATCTCCGGACACGTCCAATTCCACCCCCAGAGGAGAAAATCGAGCTTCAGCCTCGTCAGCACATCTTGAAATGCGCGTAGACCGATCTGCGGCACCCTGAGTGGAGACACTCGCAGTTGGGGAACCTTCGACATTGCGTTGCCTGCACACACAAACGTTCTCCCTTTCGCTCACTCTCTCACAATCGCCACTGCGCGTCGGCCACTCAAGCACTGACTGCTCACTCTCTCTGCGCTCGTTCAAGATCGCTACTCCCAATTCTTTCAAGGTCCGCCAAGATCCTTGTGCAACTCGTCTCCGCACTCTCTACTCTCACTGCAGGTCGCTCCGCCCTTGCGCGTAATCTTGGAACTGGAAATTGCAAAGTCAAGAATGAGAGAATGAGACTGGAGCGCAGTCTTTTCTTCTCCGATTTCAAGAACGTCCAACGTTCTTACTGGTTGCAACGTACGCAGCCGGCTATACGGCTTAACGGTTCGCCCTTTGCATGCGCGAATTCACGTCCCCGCATTGCGCGCATTCGCATGCTTAAACGTTGAATTCTCCCGCCGCCGCCACCTTCCGGACTCGAGTCCGCTGCAGGGTATACGTCGGCCCTGTTGTCTTTTCCTAACCCGCCCTTCTCCGGAGGCGTGTCGCCGCTGGTGCGTTCATTATCCGTCGGCGCCTTGCTGGAGGCGCACATCCAGCCGGAGCGAATTACGCCGGCGCGCAGTCGTACTGCCTATTTTGTCCTTTATGCCTCGTCCGTTGCTGCCAGCGCATATCCGTCAGCGCAACTCATGCCAGCGCATCCGGCCGTCAGCGCCACGTCGGAGGCGTACATCCGACCGGCGCGTTCCTTCCATGAACAGCCGCCAAGGGCGCTTCCGACTCTGAGTTGGTTTCCTCCTGTGAGCGCGTGATTCCGCCGAAGGCGCATCGCCGAGGGCGTACGGGAATCCTTTCCGGCTGTGAACCCTAGCGCGAACGGCGCATGTCCGGCTACGAGTTTTTCGACGCTCATAACTTCTCCATTCCTGATCCATCTCCGGCGCTCTTGGACTCGTTAGAACGAGCGTCCCGAGCTCTTTCTAATGCAACTTCAACCAACTGGATCTACCGTGTATCCCGATTGTTATGAAGGTTTTCCCTTTCCGCGCTAGCGACGCTTCGCCGAAGGCGCACTCATGGTCGGATGCCTTTAGAGGTCCGGGCCCTTCTCCTGACGTCTTTAGCAAAACCTCCTCCTGAGGTGTCTGCGCCGGAAGCGTAGCTTCCTTATACGCTAGAGGCGCGTGAGTAGAGACACCTCAAAAAGGAGCTTTTGCCGAAGGCGCCGAAGACGTTGGCGTTGGTACATCCGACTACGTGATTTTTTGTGCCCTCGTGACGATCTCATCAATCCACTCTATTTAGCGTACCCTTCTCTAGCTACAAACACTGCTTTGGTACTAGTTTTCTAAAATTGTTTAAATTCTGAAAAAAAACAAAAAGTGTGTTACCACAGTTATCCACATGCATGTTCATCGGAAGACTTGAAGATGAAAGAGCTTGCGACAATAGTTCTTAGAAAATAAATAGAATTGAATAAAAACATCGTACAAGACCAAAAGATTGTCGTCACGTGCAAAACCAATCATTGAATGGTGAGGACATGCGAAAAGGTCAGAAAGGAAACCAGATAAATGACTTCATAGTTTTTTCATTTTTATTCACTTCTTCCTCATAGCCTGTTTGCCGGTCATGTTGGTACCCCCAACGGTAAATGTCATGATTCTGTTGACCTAGGATTTTACTTCCAATTTAGAGTATCCATGCTTCACGTTTTTCGTGCTCATTCCCTCGAAAGTTACAGCCCAGTGGTAGCCACAATTTTTGAAAACATTTGTGAGTAGATTTTACTATTCGCATCACTAGAATATGATATACAGTCGCTAAGTTGATTGAGCTATTAGCAACGCCAACAGATTAGCATATACAAGTTTGACTAATTTCGATGATGATGCATAATAAGAGCTGTGTTATATAGAAAGAGCAATATAGAAAGATATTTTTTTGGCCTTCTGGAAAGGTTGAGCCATCAACCTTTTCTGGAAGCCCCAAAAATTAATCAGATTTGGATGCATAACCCTTTCTGTGTTGAAGGGAAATGTTATGATCTTGGTTTCAAGTTGCCTATTGGGGTTATATTCTAAATCAAGATCTTCTTAGAATTAATTATAATCTGCAATCACTATATATCACTGATGGAATGAATTGTGCAAGTTCAACAAGATAATATCATTGAAAAGTTGGAAACATCAAGATGTGAAGTTGTCACATTTGTAAATTTTAATTATGGATCATCGTTATATCCAAATAGACTTATAATTGATAAGTGGGAGAAGACATCATCTAGTCAGCAACACTGATAATTTTGCAGAGGCTGATTGACTGAAATACATTTGTCATCAATAAATTATACACCTCTAATCAATTAGAACCTTATGTGATCTTCATAATTTTTGCACTTTGGCTTGATTATCAGTTGAATAAATCATGCATACAAGTGGTGAAGCTATGTTACAAAAGGAGACGTAGAATCGCCTTCTAGTATAGAAGGAGTTCATTGCATGGAGCAAGCAGTGATTATCATTTTAAAGCTTTAATGATCCATTTTCAGAGTTAACAAGCAGTACAAGAAGCAAGTTGGTCTACATGATCTGGACTGCAAATAAGAAACTAACGATGAAGCATGGTAGCAATCAAATTATATTTCCATTCCTGTCAAACCCATCCAAAGTTGATAATCTCCTTTTCTCTCATCCTACTATGCGTTTTTCCTACATATGCAGAAATCAGAAACCTTAGAAATCAAATTTAACCTCCTTCCTTCTCCTGCATCTTTTCCACGAACTAGAATAATTTTTCACCTACCCTCCAGTAAAAGTTATGAGGATCAACTTTATTATTTTAATCATCTCACCAAAGCAAGCAACATGGATAGAATGAAACAATCACAATATCTGGTCAATCAGTAAGCTTCATCCAGAGATAAAGAGCGATAGTTTATTATACATATAATACAAAATACACACATCTCCGTATTGAGATTCTACAGACTTAAAAATAAAGAGAAGCTCACTATCACGTCGGAAACTGAAGTTGATTCATCACATACTCAAGTTTCCTGAGCATGACACTTACATTCCTAGAGGATTCGAATTCAGTAGGCTTCCTGTGAGTGCTAGAGAGCGCAGAAGTGAACAAGCACTGGCAGAGAGTAGCGAAGGCCTTTCTCAAATCAGAAACCATTCCAAACATTGCGAAAGCGTAAATACGGAGCCCAAAATAGATACGGGAATTCGTAATGTACAAGCGAGGTCAAGGCTTCGCAGCCTCGGTTTATTGAAACTATGCACGTCCTCATTCGGTTCAGAGCCGAGAATGTCTAAAACCGTGCACTGCTTTAAGATCACTCGTGTTATTTGCTCTGAAATAGAGTAAGGATTGCCACGGGACATTCTCCATGAACGGGAATCACAGCTGCCACGCCTGGAGAAGCTCAAAACGTCCACTCACTCATGGATGTGATGCTCGAGAGCAGGGATAACCAGAGAGATCGTCCAGACCTGATCGGGCCATTCATCAATGCTGGACATGCTGCTCAGCTGGTTGCCGGCATGCGTGGGGCCGTTGATGAGATAGCCTTTGGTTTTAGCATTGCGGAGTCTGAAGCCGCCATCGAACTTCTTGGAAGGAACAATGATCCAGTACTGGTTCAGATCTTTCTCATCCTTCTCGGCCAATTGCACGCCTGCAATTTCAGCCTTGGAAACACCATCATCAGTCACAAACAAGTTCATGTTCAGACTCTCGATAAGGTAGGATTCGCGCCATTCCTTCAACCTGGGTACCACTAGCCGGAACTGCTGCTCCCGCAAGGTATTGATCTTGTCTCTCAGGAAAAGAACTTTTTCTTCGCCGTACACAAATCGCAAATGCTGATAGTTCATGATCCTGAAGGGCATGGAAGGAGGGGGAATTCCCTGCCTGATGCCCTCAGCGAAGCTGAATATCCATTGCAAGCTGAATGTTTCGACTTTGTCACCCGTGTCAATGGTGGTGACCTTGTTTCCGTCTCCCGCCGCGACAGTCTGGAGGTCCACTTTCGTGCTGTAATTCTGGACACGGTAGAACCCATCTGCGAATATCTTCGTGGGAACCATAGTCCAGAGTTGTTTCTCACTGAACTCCTCCAGGGGTTGCATGAACACTTCACGCTCGCCCGACGAAGAGTTGTGTCCTGTTAGAGCTAGACCATTTTTCAAGCTGACAATGTTGTAGAACCCCTCTCTCTTCACAGACGATATGAGGTACCAGTAGATGGGAAGGGTGTTGATGTCATTGTCTTCCGCGACTGGATTTGCCGTGTTCTCAGTCGACACTGAAAGAAACCTTGCGAACTCTGCATTCATTAGCTTGAAAGGAGTGTAGGGCTGGGGAATGCCCTGCATGTTCTCCGTAGTTAGTCTCGCCATGGTGCCAGATCCTCCTGCACCTGCACATCGTCAAGGTGAGATCAAGAGTCAGCTCGAAGCTGGAACCTTATGTCCGACAAAGCGGCTCTAGCATGTTCCTGCAGAAAATTTACGTTCCAAACTTAATCTTGCTCCCGTGTATCAAACTTCAGAGACATGCTGCTGAAGGAGAAACCAACGACGATAATATGGTTAGCGTGGGAAAGAATCTGAAAACCGCATCAGAACTCAAAGTCACAGGCCCGAGAGACCAGCCAGCCAGTTAGTATGCAAATTGTAGCTGGTATGCTCACTGCATCTGTGAAAATGACAACAGATTATCAAGTGAACAAACTCAGGAGTGAAACGGACGTCTGAGCACTTCGAGTACCATATTAGAAACTCGAACGTGCATGGAGCAAGACGTAAAACATCTTTTGGTGTGAAACCGTAAAATACTCTTTACAGTACACATCGTCCGATCTAGCTCAAATTTTTCAATGGCTCATACGTCATTGGAAACTATGACAGCATGGAAATTATTCATAATATTGTTCCTTACGTACTAGATATGTACACCAAACACAAACACAACGTCATACGCTTATTTACACACTTCCGCAGTGGCAGGAGACTGGACGAATGAACTTACGAGAATCTGCCGAAGGGAAACCGAGTGATTGAGCAAAGATGACAGACTGATATAAGAACCCGAATTCCGAGACCTCGATTCACCTTGGAGACCTGATTCGTGGTCCGTCTTTTATAGATGCATAACGAGGAATCATTTGACTGGAATGAATATTTTGATACTAGTACCTCATTCGAAGGAGTGTGGTGCGTCTGAAAAGAGCGTCATGGAAAGCATGGGATGCTGATGGGCTTCAGTAACTTCGTAAAAGATGTGTAACAATTCTGAAGGCTAAGTACATTCCCCGCGTGGACCACCATGAATCTTGTTTGCAGTGCCAGTGTCACTAGGGTCCCATAGCTGACGAGGCACATTGGAGGCTATGGATATGTTGAAAGCTGTCACTTTCTCCCTGACTTCGTTCATTCTCATTCATACTAATTCTATCTTTCTCAGTTGAAGTAAAGTGCATGAATGATATCGAACTTAATTACTGAAAAACGTCCATGCGTCTCCCGCCGTCCTCAAATAATCAAATTTCTTGCACTTTTTTTGTACTTACGGTAATCAGCTACTAAATCACGTACTACTTTCTTTAACAGTGGACGATACTGTACAAGGTTGTTTGACTTCTCTGACATACCTGGAGTTGAAGTTCACCGTCCCGAACAAGACTCACGTGTAATATCCAGCTCGTAGCTGCTGCTAGAAAAAACAAGAGAAACTGACTGAGCAAGCCTGAAGTTGTCGTGGGTCCGGTGCAGCCTTCCTATGTGCCAGAGGATATGCATTCCTGTAATTTAGCTGACCAGAGATTTAAGCTGTGATGAAGTTCTCCTGAAATCCGACTTAGGTAGTCATAGTTGCTGTTGTGCGAGGAATTTTGAAATCCAATTGGATTTCTTATTCAATGATCCATCCAACCGGAGATGGATTTGGAGAGATATTCCAGATATTTAGTTTTGTGGTCTAAAGGCCGAGAGAGCTGTCCTTCACATTGATGTTATTGAGTAATGATAGATAAGCTACACTGAACGACCTCATACACCAGTCAGCCTCCAATGTGTCCTTCTTACATAAATTCTAAGAGCGGATTGCCAAGTTCCAAACATTTCCAGATGAGGTCGAACAAAAAGAAGAAGGGCATAATAGCTATCCTGAACGGAGAACAGCGGCCCATACCTTCATTCAAGCGATCTGGATTTTGGACATCCGAATAGTTTGGAAGTAAATGACACTTCAACCTGTACCTGCAAAACACGAAATTCAAAGGCTCCAACTTGGCTGTGTCTTGTCCGGTTATTTGACCAGTTTTCAGAAGGTTTTAAACTGTTCATTCGTGCTTGCAGAAGAAAAGTGAACTCTTGTCTAGCTGCGTTAGTGCCACTGCAAGTCCGAGACCTTTCTGTATGGGTCCTCTTTTATCATCAGCTAATGATCTGATATGCTTGCCCCAACATTTCCGCTTTCTTTCTGGAAATTTAATGTTCATCGTCCGAAACAATGATTATGCCTTACAGATAGGCTGGCCTGTTTAGAGAATTGCGGTCATCATGAAGGGGTGAAACATTTTCACCTACATGTAAGATCGGAACGGTGTCACTAGTGTATGCAATCCAGAAACCAACAAACGTTTGAAAACAAGAGAAATAGGAGTTGTGACCATGTATATAAACAAATTTGACCAGGTAGAGTCGTAAAATTGTACAGAAAATCCTACTTTCATCTTCATCTATCAACTGGAATTGGATGATTGACGCCCAAGGGAAGATCACTTAATTAGTTACCGTGATCTTTTGCTGAATCGCAAGAGTTCAACTGATTATGCTTTTTGTTCGATTCTCTGCTGTGTTCATCATTACGTGATGAAATCATGATTTCGATGAAATAAATGCAGGTCGTCAGCGAGAGGAAATGGGAATGAATCCGGAGATACAACAGTTACTCTCGAGGCAACTGTGTGGGTATGAGTTTGACACGGAATTTTTGAAGCCGAGAAGGTGTGTCCAGGTGCATTCATGTGATGGTTTGTTGCGTGCAGGACTTGTACTCAGTATGTTCGAAAATAAGGCTTCGTCAGCAAAGTGAAAATCCACAGCAGAGAGTTCTAGGAACATTTCGGGTGTTCTGGGTCATACCTTTCGGGATCTCTCCAAAAGTACATGAGGCCCCCTTTAAGCACAATCCCTTTAAATTGAGCACGTACTGGCCAATCTGATAATTTGGCGTGTTCTGCATTTTTGGATTCATTGATTGTGTAAAGCTACCCCAAAGAAGGTCTCAGATTCGCAGCCGAGAAATCATCTCGGCAGTCGATCAAATTCCATTGTCATGATGAAACTCCGCTCTTTTGCTTCATCATCCTCACAGGAGGAAGTTTAGTATCAGTTCATGTTTCGTAATGGAACATACTACTCAATCTGGCATCGATTATTCTCCTTGTATGATACGTTTGTCTTATATGTCAGTGCTGGTTACTCGCTCATTGTGGATCATTCCTATAAAGTGGATGTACAATGGGCAGACTGAACATCCAATGACGAAAATCAGTCTTTAGTACCATATGTACGATTCACCAATTCGTTCAGAGCCGAATCTTTCCATTCTTGTACAGTATATTTTTAAAACCTCGATCTGGGACGAATGTCAGCTTCATCGTTGAGACACTGCCCCCATAAAAATAGGGACTAAGGGAATCAGTGTATTATATGTGAGGGTTAAGCATTGTCCTAATCGATTAATCGTGGTCGGTTATGAAGTAGTTCTTCGTCCATCATAAGAACATCCTCTCCTACACCCTGCACGCTGACAAAGTGTACAGTACATCTGCTGTATTGTTCGATTTACTTTTCATTTTTCAGCAATAAAGAAGCATGTATACAAACAAAAGCACTGAAAGTGCAATGAAGACTACTACCTCGGCCGAAAAGAAAGTCCTACCGCAAGGGAAAGGAGACAGAGACAGTTGATATTTCTTAAGATAAATCGCTATCTGTTCAACTGCAACTGTAAGGGGAATCGAGAGACCTGAACAAACATCCATCATTACATCCATTTTCCCGCCCACTGGCCGATACCAACGCTATCTGCTATGCTACATGAAACCAGATACCGTACACATAGAAAAGTGTCTCCTATGTCTTTTGTCATCGTACAGGCCGTGCACTTGGAATTGAGAGTGATGACAGATAGATCTCATGATAGATTTTTGGTTATATTTGTGCAAATGGTCACCAACGTAGATCCAGGTGTGGGTTTCCTGATACTCATTGTTTTATCAATGGTTTAAACAGATAATCAATCCCAAATCTTGTAGAATGCCTTAAACATTCCACATTACTTGGACACAGCGATTCTAGACCTTCTAAAAGTTCACAAATGGGAGTTCGTCGCTGACATTGCCCGCTTTCGATTAGTTTGTACATCACAAACAGTTTTAAACAAGGATGGAGATGTACCAGACAGTTTATTAAGAGTAATTTTGCGGTAAATACCATATTAATCTAGCCTAATTCAATTGTCTAGGTACATGAATCATCAGAAGATCTTCAAGGATAGAAGATAAATTGCCTCTATATCTTGTTTCAAAACATAATATTTTTCTGAAAAAAACTAGAAAACTTTGGTGGGTTTTTTATTAACATATTCCAATCTACAAAAATCATAAAAAACGGCCAAAAAGTTGTCAAATTGTTTGTTATGTATATCAAACAATATGTACGGGTAAGAATAGATGCTACTAGTGAATGATGTACATATCATGCTAGAAGTTAAGTTCTTATTTGTGGTCAAAAGAAAGTCATAGAATGTTCTCGGCCCTTCATGCCAACGGCTTAGAAATGAGTATAATTCATTTGCAATATATATAAACCCCCAAAAACTTCTGTATCTCAAATCTATCCTTCTTTTCCATCACAGGATATCAACTGTAAATTATTGGTTTCGCCTGAGACATTGTTGGATCTACATTCTTAAAGTGACATATGATATCCGTTGACAACCACATGATTAATAAGTAAAATAGCAAAAAGATATGAAAGACTCCGACAGGTCAAACATGGATAATACCAAAAGGCTAATGTGGGGTTTGTCTCGAATAGGATCACAACGGCATATATGTCATACTATATCTAACATATTCAACAAATCTCTACAACAACAGACATATACCAACGACCATCAAAATCTTATATAATGTCATTGCTATCTTGTGAATCTGAACATTGAATAATATGTGCATGTCAATGCATACATATAGCTTGAAAGTTCAAACAAAATCCTTGCCGTCTGTTATTATAAATATATAGCGCATTAGTCAAAGCTGATGTCACGTGAGTTCATGATTCAAGGCTGCAGAACAAATTGACTAGTATGCAAATCTTATGCTTGTAAATATTGACTAATAGCACTGACCACTTGCAGCTCATTGAAGATTGTAATATGTAAAAACAACATATGCAATACCAAGATGAAATTTTCAAATCAATTATAGTCTGAAACAGGAATGCCATGAAGCGCCATCATTTTTTATGCATATCAAATCTCTAAAAAAATTTCTCATGATTCATAACGAGTTTATGCTTTTGAGATGAGCTTTGATTCTTACACAACTTTTTCAAATCTAATTATTCTTAAAATCAATTTCATTTATTTATGAATGAAGATGTACATTAATAAATAAAAATTAATCAGTAACCTTCTTTTTTTACACAAGCTAACGTGAATTGAAAAAGAACTGTCTTGAAGACTTTAAAAACGTTTTGATGATGTAAAACAAGCTAAAATTTTACATTCATCAAAATACAAAGTAAATCTTAATTGAATGATCTATTATAAAGTCTAGTATTTGTCAGTACAAATGGGTTTGAGAGATATCAAATTATCAAGAAATGTTGAGAGCTCAAGACACTTATGATTTGTTTCAGGAAAGAGTGGAATAAACTTATCTTTCATCATTTTTAACAACCAGAAGAAATTACAAAAGAGTGTGAGAGTTAATACATTGATTACAAGATCAACTTTATAATCATCTTAAATAATGTATCATGTTTTCAACTTGCTTGATATTACTGGTTTTTAATTTTTTTAGTAATTCATTGAAAGCAAAGTGAATGTAGCACAATAGTCAATCACGTTTACACAAATAAATTGATTTAATGCAAAATTTTGAA